GACTAAAATTATGAACAATTTTTTTTGTCAATGGTCGGCGCTAGTGTCGCGCATCTGAAGTAGTAAATGGCGCTTAACTAAACAACAGTGAAAACAATCCTCAACATCCGACCACGAAAGGCACTATATACATGGCCTCTCCAGGTGATTTAGCCGCGTCATCATGCTATGCATATCAACGTCGTAGAAGCCGAAATCACACGATAGCTAGTTATATACTGGTGTATGTACAGTATTAAGAGCTATGTCGTAGAGCTGTTCTTACAGAAAGTATAGGTATGCCGTGAGCATTATCTCATACTTACGTCAGTAGCGAAAGTTGAGCCCCCCTTTCGCTGATCGTAAATCCAACCATTCTCACACGATGTCTGGTTGCCGTCGGTGTAAAAGAAGTGCGACAAACTGTCGAGGCCACCACTGGCATAGAGAAAAGCTGCCTGCGTGTAATTTCGTTTAGAATATACCTCACAGGCCGACCATTTCAATACTCCTTCATCTGATATGTCATACAGTATGCTCAGGTTTTTCTGCACGTCGTATGTGCGTAAGAATCTCATCGAACGAGATCAGGTGAGGCATCACGCTAGCCTCGTACAGGTGCTTGTTCACTTCCGCCATGTTGTCGCGCTATATAGTCGTATCATCGTCTGGTTTACCTTCGTCCCACAGACGGAAAGAGAGGCCTCCTGGCAGTTCTGCAGGTCGTATTTACTAACAAGATAATAGTAGCGGGCGCGGCTCATGGATGCAAACGAATCAACGGCAAATTTGTTAAGGAAAATCGACAACAAGAAGCATTTCAGCGGGAAAACTAGGCAGAAATAGGGGGGAAACCCTTATCTACTACAATGAGACAATCATGAGTTTAGTGCATCGGGCCAACACTCTATAGCTTTGAGAAAACGCAGGACAACAATATGTATAAGCACATAAAGAGCTACTGCGGGTATTAACCATACAATGTCAACACGGACATGTCTATTTATACTAAATTCTTACACTTTTATGGGATTTATAATCCCTTTACCTTCATACTCTTGCTGTTTCCTCTCGTTCCGTATTGCTTTGCCGTATTACACACACGCACGCAAGCACGCGCGCACGCACGCACGCACGTACGCACAAACACACGCACGCACACACACACGCACGCACGTGTAAATAAATAAATAAATAAAAATAAATAAATATATATATATATATATATATATACTTAATAAATTATTTATTTAACTTGTATTTTTCTTTGAGATGTGTAGATGTGAGGTGCAATATTATAGCTATGACCTTATAGGTGCGGTACGGTATTTAATATACACCTCAGCACAACACTCTCTGTAGTATACACTAACCAATGATAATAGCGCGGAGGCCTTATTAACTACAAGAAATTCAAGAGTACTAACGTAACAACGATTAGAGTGAGCAAAGCAAAACATCAGGTACAAGAGAAGGCAATTGTGTAGTCAAATTCCTTTTTCATATTATGACCTTCTAGAATTAGGGATGCGTATAATTAATTCATGCGAGCGGCCTACAAGCCGCGAAACGGTGTGTGTTTATACCAATAAAACATTTTCGATATGGTATATTCTGCATCTTTTTTACATATATCTGTATGGTATTATTGGTATAAATATGCAACTTCTGCTCATTTTAGTCACAACATGTTTTCGTGCCTGGTGTGGTTATCTGTTAGTTGCTTTGCTGATAAAACTGTCAGGCTTGTTTGTTCTATGTATGTTCATATAATATATGCCTCAGAGTATTGTTCTATGGCTAGTATGCTAATTCTTTGCAGTGGGACCTGGTCTGCGGCAAAAGCTGGTTGGCGTCTGCTGCCGGTCAAAGTCTCTACATGTTGGGTTTTCTGATCGGATGCATCGTTTTCGGGGAGATTTCAGACAAGTACGTGTTCTATGACACCGCTCGCCAATAACGTCACAATTGCGCAGAAAGTCGTGCGAGGTTTCTAATCGCTATCTAATCTTTTGAGAAGTCAGTACACACTGCGGTAGTTATCCTAATCTGCATCGCGCACAAGTAGGTGATATATATAAATAATAGGTGATAGCGCGCGTGATCCCGATTGACACATTCGGTCAGGCAAGGTTTAAGGATATATGCACGGCTAAGGCTACAATGTTATTTACAGAAAAGGCCGGAAGAAAACCTTCTTGTTTACGATACTGATGCAGGCGACGGTCTCCACGGCTAGCGCTTTCTCTCCGAACTATTCCGTCTACGCCGTGCTGCGGTTCCTGACAGGAGCGGCCGCGGCTGGGTCCTGTAACAGTGGCTTCGTCTATCGTGAGTCGCCAATATAGCCAATATCTGTCGTGATATACCTCGGCGCTATGTCGACAATTGGGTGTCGGGTCACGCAGCAGACGCGTCGCAACCGTGTGACGTCATCTCGTTACGGGTAACGCTTCGGCAGAAATAAAACTAGACGTTGAAAAACTCATTTTGATGTGCAATTAGCGTTAAACCGCTGTCT